GAATAAGGAGAAAGCTATTCAAGCTTCAGAAGTGAATGTTGTCAATGTTAGTGGTAATAATTCTGATTCTGATTCTTCGGGCTACTCGTTATCTGCACTACCGTCAGTTTGTGTTGCCGATTGTACAGAGTGGATGTTGGATTCGGGTGCTTCTTACCATATTTGCCCTAGGAGGGATTGGTTCTCCAACTTTCAGGAGTTGGAAAAAGGGGAGGTCGTGCTCATGGGTAATGATCATGAATATCCTATTGGTGGTATCAGTACCGCTCAGATTAGGATGAGTGACGGAGTGATTCGGGAGTTAGTTGGAGTGATGTTCGTTCCTCAGTTGAAGAAGAACATTATTTTACTTGGAGTTTTAGAGGCAACAGGCTATAGGGTGACATTGGTCGATTCACGTTTAAAGGTCATATTGGGGTCCATGATTATGATGAAGGGCGTCAGGAGGAATAATTTGTATTATTTGATTGGGAGCATGGTGTTTGATAGAGAGCTGATGACTTCTTTGGATTTAGCTAGACTGTGGCATTTGTTAAGGCTGAGTTATTTGATTGGTTATGTCGTGCATGGTTTGTTGAGGACTATTTTGACCTGCAGATTAAAGTCCTTTGAGCACATTTGTATGAGCAAGAAGACCGAGGTGGAGTTTGACACTTTTATCCATCGATCGAGGGGTCTTTTAGGTAGTATTTAATCAGGTATTTAGGGGCCTTCCAAGGAGGCATCATTAGGAGGTAATCGGTATTTGGTTTCTGTAGTTGGGGATTTTTCTAGGCATTGGTGGGTTGCAACCAGGTCCCGTTGGTGTGAAGTCCTAAAAGTTAACAATAATTGGAAGAAGTGTATTGACAGAAAGGTAAACCACCGTTCTAGCTTTGGTAGGGGTTCTTTCTTACATTTATGCCGAGCTCATGGCAGTTTGAGACACTTCATTGATGTGGAGACATTGGGCGACGAGATGAGATGACAGTTTTGATGGGTTGTTCCTTACTGGAGAGGGATCGGCGTTGGTTGTCGAGCATTGATTTTGATTTTGATGATTCGATATATTTGGGTCATCTTGGTCATAGGTTGCCGGTTGCTGTGTGTGGAGATTTTGGATCTGGTGAAGCTGCTTCAGATTTTGGGTTGCGTCGGATATTTGGTTGCCCAACATTTAGTCACATCGAGGATGTGAGATTTGATCCGATTGCACGTTTGGGATTCAGAGGTTCGTTTGATTATCAGTTAGGAACTTTTGATTTTGTTCTGAGCATGTATGTCACATTTGACTCTCGACAGGTGGAGAGTGTTGATCAGATCATTGGGATATCACAGCGGGTGAAGAGTGATGCTACTTCATATTGGATGGAGATTACTCCACATACTCCAGATCATACTGCATCATTTGGGATTCTAGCTGAGGTGACACAGTTTAGAGATCATTTGGATTTAGACGCAGATGATGAGTTGGTTTTAGATTCGAGTGCAGCTGCTGGACATGTTTTGGATACAACCATTGGTTCATCTCAGGTGGAGTTGTTTGATTTGTTTCAGTTTAGGGCCATTAGGAACATTATCAGTTACAGATCCATTGGTGATATTGGTGAAGAGTTGCAAACTTTTCTATTTGATTGAGAGCCTTTGGAGGCCGTTTGGGTGAACTACGTGAATGCTTGATTCCTTGGGCAAGAGGACACGTAGGCAGTTATTTATGATGCAGTCGGTTTGGTGAGTTGATACCGACATTTGGAGTTTGTTCGTATTCTCGTTTGGATTCTTGACTTATTGTGGATTGAGTCCGTTGTCATGGATTTGTTCCACTTCGTACTGGACGTAACAAGTGAGACGTTTTGTTGGTATTGGTGTCGGCTCAGTTTTGGGAAAACTTCGTCGAGGTGAAAAATTGTTGGATAGCAGGGTCCTAATATGTTTTCTAATTTGTTTTGTTAACAGGTTATTGAGATTCCTAATCTGTTTTGGTAACATGATTCCAAATCTGTTTTGGTAACAGGTTATTAGGATTCATAATCTGTTTTGTTTTTTGTTTTAGAATTTCTAGTATGTTTATGATTTTAGGATTTTTTATATATATATATAGAACAATTGGAAGAGAGTATTGAGAAAAAACTGGGGATATTTGGAGCACAGAAAAGAGGTATTTTCTGAGCTATTGGTTTGGGTTTTTTGGAGAGAATTAGAGATTTGTTGGTGAGATTAATTGGTGAGTTTGAGTGATTTATAATCTTAGTTTGTATTCTTCTTCTCTATTAGTGAAAAACTCTATCCCCTTCTTGCCCCGTGGACATAGGCAACTTGTCGAACCACGTTAAAATTGGTTGTTTGAAAAACTCTATCCCCTTCTTGCCCCGTGGACATAGGCAACTTGTCGAACCACGTTAAAATTGGTTGTTTGTGTTTGTGACATTGATTTGGTTCGTTTGAACATAGGCAACTTGTCGAACCACGTTAAAATTGGTTGTTTGTGTTTGTGACATTGATTTGGTTCGTTTGACCTGCTCTCGACGTTCGTTTGATTTGATTTCTCGTAACACGTTGGTTTGGTTGTTTGGCTTCCGCAGCCCTCAACAGTTTGATGGAATATGATGTTATGGTACAAAGACTATTGCTTGCGACCTTTTGGACGTTATAATACTAAATTAAAAATTCCAAAGTTAGGATGAGAATTTTGAAGGATCCCCGTGAACACATAATCCACCGACCCTCAAGTGCTGGCCGCACCGTCAAGGCAATCAAGATGTTAGCTGATAAGGCTTCAAATTGTCACGGAGCTGCATGACTTAAAAGACTTTATCGGGTCAATTTGGATTTGTCCTTATTATCATATATTCTCATGTGACCCACACCATTAATTGACTAAAAACGCTAATCTACTCAAAAGGATAACTATCATCACACAAGCTATTATCAGCAAGTATTTAGGAATGAACCCACGCCACAATCAACAAGTTACAGCAAGCGAATGATATGGACATGCTTTTTTCCTATATAAAAAAAAAAGCTTCGTGTGGGGGTTAATCAATCGACAACCTGTCAAAGAACCTCTTCGCGACGTGCCCTCCGGATCTTATAACGAACAATTAGCAAGCAAGAAATCACAGCAAAACGGAAACTTTGCAGGAAAGAACAAATAAAAGGAGAGAACACCATATTTAACAAGGTTCGGCAAACATACCTATGTTCTCGAGAGCCACACCAGAAATTTTATTGATTATTGAAGAAGATTACAATGCCTACAAACGGCTATCACTCTCTCTAAGATCTCTCCTTCAAAGTGCTCTCAAAACTCTCTTTTTCGTGTACTAACTCTTAAAAGGATGTTCAAGAATATATACAAACCCTAACTCGAAACAGATTCCTAAACGGGCCAGTAAACTGCTTGACCCGATAACGGTCGACTGATGCACTTGCATCGGTCGACTGATAAGGGCTTCTCAGCCTGCTTCGTGCATGTTGTTGGTCGACTGATGGTACCCCTTCAGTCGACTTACCAAAGCGATTTTTAGGCTGTTTCTTACAGTCGAATCGGTAGACCGGTGCTTCTCTATCAGTCGACTGACCGGGGTGTTTTCTGCTGCTTGTTGATTTTGTTCTCAAGTTTCGGTCTACACACCCAATATCAACAACCTCCCACTTGGAGACTAAACCTCCATCAACAAGCTCTCTTAAACTTAGTCATCTTCGCAAGCACCTTCTCCTACCCGGAAAATTTCTTCGCAAGCACCTCCTCCTCCATCAACTTTTTTTAAGGGTGTCTCTGTTGGATAACAAGTTATTGGGATTCCTAATCTATTTTGGTAACATGATCCAAATCTGTATTGGTAACAGGTTATTAGGATTCCTAATCTGTTTTGTTTTTTGTTTTAAAATTCCTAGAATGTTTATGATTTTAGGATTTCTATATATATGGAACAATTTGGAAGAGAGAATGGAGAAGAAAATTAGAGATATTTGGAGCACAGACAAGAGGTATTTTCTGAGCTATTGGTTAGTGTTTATTTGGAGAGAATTAGAGATTTGTTGGTGAGATTAATTGATGAGTTTGAGTGATTTGTAATCTTAGTTTGTACTCTTCTTCTCTATTAGTGAAAAACCATATCCCCTTCTTGCCCTGTGGACGTATGCAACTTGCCGAACCACGTTAAAATTAGTTGTTTGTGTTTGTGGCATTGATTTGGTTCGTTTGGCATTCTCTCGACGTTCGTTTGATTTGATTTCTCGTAGCACGTTGGTTTGGTTGTTTGGCTTCCACAGCGCTCAACAGTCTCAACTAATATATCAAATGCTAAAAGAATAGGGCATTTGTTTTTTGTGTATTTTGACGAGTCAGAGTCAACCAAACCCATTGAGATTTGGTTTGAAACATTCAAATTAGTGAAATTCCCTTCGCCATAACGTTTTTTTGGCATTTTACAATTTCCAGTAACAAAGTAGGAATCTGATTAGGATAAAATGAATTTTTTTCTAAATCAAATTTGATTGAGTTGATTCCTCAATCATAGGATCGTTTAGGATAGTTTTTCATGCTTTTTTACTTTTAAATTCTGTCATATAAAAAGTTTCTATTTAAATAAAGGATTATAAACCAAAGAGGATAATTTGGGTAAGTTAGCAATTTCCTTATTGCTCTTCTCTCTTTGTGCATCAAGAAGAAAATAATGTCGCCCATAATTTGGGTAAGTTAGCAATTTCCTAGACGTGCGTATGATTCATTATGGAAATTTATTTTTCCTCCACAAATTGACTTTCTTATTCATTGTATTGCTGCTTAGCTTAATAATAACGTTTAAGTGCCATTTCAAAAAAAAAAAAAAAAAACTATGCTTTTATGGTTTATCTGGATAAACTGACTATATATTTTTAATTTATTTTCACTTCTAAAAGGGTCAAAACTGCTAAATGTCTATATATACACTATTGGGCGATGGTACAATTAATTAATCAGTGCATTAATTTAAAATGTGTGTGTGTGTAAATTAGAGTTGCAATTTGATACTTACCTAAAGGAAGGAGGATTAGAAGGCCAACCCGGAACGTACTCCTCAAGAGGGTAGCAATGGAGCCGGAGATAATCCCTCCAGTTATGGACCTTCTCCTTCTGAACATTGAAACTCGTCGAAAGCCTCATTTTCTTTGCCGGATCATCGGAGTACAGGCTCATCTTCTCCTCCGCGGGGAGGCGAAAGAACTCCAGGCCGATCATCGCCATCTTCGTCGTCAATTCGACGGACACCCCATGGTTCACAACCTATGTATATATGCACGAATATAAACATTAGTTAAGAGTAAATTTAAATATATATATATATATATATATAGAGAGAGAGATTTATACGCTGACGCGTCTTATGTTCTATTTTATTAGCACGTACACTATGCGTTGTGAAATCACGCTACTGTTAGAGTTGATGTGAATATTTCCACGTTAATATCTTAATTTGCTCCAATATAATGGGTACGGGATATTGTAACATTAAGTTTGGTGCATTTACACACCTAAGAAAATTGGCGCCATAAATCGTATAAAGTTTAAATTCAATGAGAGGAACTCTAAGATGGTATCGAAGCCGTTTGATACAGTAGATTATTAAAATTTAAAATATAAAACCTAGCTCAGGTACAAAATTATAACTCTCATCGCTCACGATCAAGAAATAAAAAATAAATAAAAAGAGGATATGGATAAGGCAGATGGTTTGGGGTTGTATGTACGCACCTGAAATATGCCGTACGTTCGACACGCGCCGGTCACTTGAGCGATGATTCGGGATTTGTCGGGACAATTCAGGTCGATGACCGGGATATTCCGGTCGGTCTGCACTTCGTTCAGCCGAGGCCTCTCGGGTTCGGGTCGGATGTAGCTCTCGGGTAAGTTGTGGTGCTTCTTGCC